AAAAGCGATGTCAACTTTGTTGAGAGAAATAGACGTTAAGTACATGGTGAGAATAGGGAGTATAGGAGCTGCTTAGGAATGACTGCGTGAAGGAAAGAAAATGAGCAAAAGAATAAGCGAATCAGATAAATTTCAACATTGCAAGGTTATGAATAACTGAATACAAGAAAACATGAAGATTAATTTAAAAAATAGGTAGATGCGTAATTATTGTAGAGTTGGTGAGCAAAATGGTGAAGGAAAGGAAATAAAGATGTAAAGACGTGTTGGAGGATTGAGAGAATAGACGCGATGGTAGAGCAGAGAAAGTGTTGCGTGTGTGTGGAATTATGAGCAAGTAACTGGCACGTTGAATTGACTGTGGATAGGCAACAAAACAACACACCGGGGCCCATCGATCTAGGGATAGAAAGATGGCTGGGCAGATGGATGAATAGATTCATTGGATCGATAGATTGATGAATAGATGGATCTTTCGAAAGATGGACGAATAGATACGCTACTCGACAGATGGAACAGTATAAAGCTGACACCTTGACAGATGAGTGAATACAAGGATGACTGGATAGATGGACTAAAAGAGGAATGGTTAGGCAGATGGATGGATAAAAAAGATAACTAGGCATGCGGATGAATAGTCAGATGACTGGATAGATAGACAAGTAGACAGATGAGAAGATAATAATAAGCAGTTGTGAGAAATGTTTGAGTAGTATCCGAAATGGATGGCTGATTGAATGTTGGGGGATTAAAAGTCTTAAGAATTAATTTTTTTAGTTAGAGGGCTAACTGTTCAAATGGACTCATATCATGAATGACAGACCAGTTGACAGGGTCATCTTTAAGAGGGACTTTATAGAATAGGTCATTTTTATCATGAAGGTAAAAGGTAGATGATATGTACCTCGGCGAACGGGGAGTGGGGGAGGATGAGGGTTATAGGAGCGGTACAGTAAGATGTGCGAAACAGAACGACTGCATACGTATGAATATGAAAGTGACAGACTGAAGAAGTAAATGAATGAAAGAATGGGGAGTATACAGTGTCCATCGAAAGAAACCAGACAAACACGTTACAAGACGACCTAGTGGACCTCACATGTGGCTAAAAAGCAAGGAATCCCCCAGGAACCGATTAACCTAGTCAGAAGAGAAAGAAAATGTGAGGCAGCGTGGAGGAATCAGGCTCTCGTCAATTTTTGGGCATGTAGAGTTATTGGTATCAGCTTAACGTTTGTTCACATGTCTTTATTCAGATGAAAATAATATCCATTTATCTTGAGTACAAGTCGAGATATTTACGAAAGAAGGAGGTGGGGGTCACCTGTTTTTAGGGGTATAATTAGTGAGAAAATGACCGCCAAAGATTAGTTATTTCCTTAGAGTAAGAGTCCGTGGTAACTGAAAATTTACATTTTTTGTGCCTTTAATCAACGTTTTTCAGAAAATTCCTCTCAGAAACGAATTCTTTTATGGGCATAAATGGTGTAGAGCCATAAAAAAATTTGATAAAAATTCACAAACCTGCTGAAAAATGCAAGTTTCTTCTCTTTGATTATTTTGACGAGAGCCTGATTCCACCACGCTGCCTCACAAACGGAGAAAACTAGGATAAGACAAGCAAAGGAAAGAACAAAAGAGACACGTGTTTGACATGACGGATTGAGACCTGTGTCAAGTCGTATGCATTTAGAGTCGTAAGCAGAAAGAGTAGTTCCAAAAGGAACACGTCAAAAGAAGAGGAAAAGGTGAGAAGCAGCAGACTTTTGTGAGGGAAAAAACAAACCAACTGTACAGAACAACGGAGAGAAAAAAAAGAAACATTGCACGCCGTGTGGTCTGAACCACAGGCAAGGCTGGGTGAAGCAAAATAAATTCCGCGACATGTCACTGCAAAACAATAAATAAACGCACATTTCATCACAATGAAAATGCCTGGAACATCTGGCATGATTTTTAAAAAACTACATTTGTATACCTTTGAAAAAAAAACCACCTGTGCAGTTCAACCGATATATTATGCCAAGTAGAGTGTGTGACAAACTTAAAAATGTAGAAATTAAAAAAAAAAAAATACAGGTTGAAGGAGTAAATAAATGAATGTGTACAGAACTCTGTCACAATGTTCAGTGGGCAACCCTCTACTAGTTCTTCTTCTTCTTCTTCTACCCGGTGGTTGGGGCAACCGTTGGGGCAACCGTTGGGGCAACCGTTGGGGCA